TCTGAAGAGAGACAATGAGACCAGGATGGCTGCTCTCGCCCGGGTGTAAACTGGGGTGATTCTGACTGTTTTAACAGACCACAAACGTAACAGCTCTGACAAGATCGAGTCTGTTTCCCTCACGTAGCAATCCAAGGTCTGGCTCTGTTGGCCTGTTTTCCGGGTCTTGCGTCTGAGTCTCTGCCATCCCTTAAAATCTATTTAAAATAGAACCAGCATATGCTCCAGCAACCCCGCTGCCGGGTGGACGTCCCGAGGAAACGATCAGCGGGTCAAAGGAGGTGTCTGCACTGCCACACCCACTGCAGCACTGCCACGGTACGGAGTCACCCCGAGAGCCCATCCGCAGAGAAATGGGGGAGAATGTGGTGTGTACAGGTGTATAGGTCAAGCATCCCTTATCCAAAATCTTGGCACCAGAAGTGTTTTGGATTTTGAATTTTTTCAGATTTCGGATATTTGCAGATACTTAGCAATTGAACATCCCTAATCTGAAAATCCTAAATCTGAAATGCCCCAATGAGCACTTCCTTTAAGCGTCACGTTGGTGCTCAAAACGTCTCAGATCTTGTAGTATTTTGAATTTTTGATTTTGGATTCGGGATGCTTAGCCTGCATACTCAAATTGAATCGAATTTCGCCATAAAAAAGAAGGAAGTCCTGTGATTTGCAGCAACATGGATGAACCTGGGGGCCTGTGTTAAATGAAATACGCCAGGCACAGAAAGATGAACGCTGCGTGGTCTCACTCACACGCAGAATGTAGGGGTCGAGCTCGCAGAGGCAGAGCGGGGTGGCGGCGCCGGAGCTGGCAGTGGGTCGGGGAGGCTGGAGATGTGGGGCTCAGAGTACCAAGTTTCAGGTAGGCAGAGAAATAAGAGTCTGAGATTTGCTGCAGAAAAGAGTAAGTGGATGAGGTCGTGAACGTTAATTGGCCTGGTTTAGCCATTCCACTGTGTACACATGTATCCAAACATTCTTGCACCTCACCGATATATACAATTATTGTCAATTAAAACTTAGAAAATCAAACCAAACTCATCGTTTTGCAAACTGTATGATGGTGTCCACAGAATATCTGAAGGCCATTTGGAGATGAAGGATGACGCTTAGCAAGGTCACCGAATACGAAGTCAGCACCAGACCCAGCCGTGTTTTTATATATTGGCAAAACAGAAAATGAGCTTTATAAAGACGTTTTATTTGGGGATGTCATCCGACCTGGAATCTGGGACTGAGTCTACCCCAGGGAAGACCCCTGGGTGGGGGAACCCGGAAGGCGTAGGAGAGAGACGCGAAGGGATTCCCGAGTCCACGCTCGCTGACCGAGGGGCAGGGTGCTGTAGACACGGCGGTTTCCACCGTCTGACCCGGGAACATCCCCACTGAGCGCGTGAGGTTTGGCGTGCCGGTTCTCAAACGTCCTGGGCAAACAGAGCCAGCACGTCCAGAGGAACCTGCAGGAAGGAGCTCTCGATAAAGTCCCAGCGAAGCATCAGGGTGCTGCCGGCCCAGGACCCGACTCGGGAATGAGCCACGAGGGCAGCGACAGTGCTGTCGGGGGCTGTGCGGGGCAGCGAGTAGGGGTCTCTCTGGTGGGTCGTGCTGGGACACTCAGGTGCCCCTGTGGGAAGGGCATTGGACCCCAGCTACATCGATGTGCAAGTTGGCACCAACTAGACGGAGAGCTTCGAGATGGAGGCGCTTTTGGGAGATCGTTTAGGGTACAGGTCTAGAGGTGGATTTCTAAAACGAGACAGAAACAGGAAGGGGTAAGGTCGAACGTGGAAGTTCAATAAATGTATGAACTTTGGTTCCTCCAGGGGAACTCCCACCCCTGCCTTTGTGCCCAACTTGCAGCACGCCCTGCCCCAGCAGCTGCCCTGAGCCCAGGGCCAGATGCACCACGTGGGGCAGGCGGGGCCTGTGCCACGCCGTGCCAGGCAGCCTGGGGCACACCAGAGCCCGGAGGCTGGCCCGGGCCACGTGCTGTATTTTAAATGAACGCTGTCGTTTTTGGCCAGCTCATCCATGCACACGTGCTCACAGCTATGCGAGAAAGAATGAGCTTCCTCCACGTGTGTCTTTTCTCTGTCCTGTGCATCCGCAGACATGCGAGACAGTCTTTGCAGAGCGTACGCGCACGCCACTGGCCTCTGCTCGAGTGCGTCTAGGGGGCAGTCGGACGTCAGGGCACAGAGGGCTGCTGGTTTCTTACAGACTGTGTGACGTATCCTCCTGGTACAACACATCTGCAGCCTGTGTTTCTAAAAAGAGAACTGGTGGGCGTGTGAGTTCGTGCGGCTGCTATAAGACAACGCTGTAGACCGGGCGGCTTATGAACAACTAACGTTTATTCCTCCCAGCTCTGGAGGCTGGAAGTCTGAGATCAAGGCGTGGCAGGTCTGTGTCTGGAGAGGCCTCACTTCCTGGTTCATAGATGGCACCTTCTTGCTGTGTCCTCACGTGGCTAAAGGGGGGAGGGAGCTCTCTGGGGCCCCTTTTATAAGGACACTGATTCCATCCATGATCTAATCACCTCCAAACAGCCTCGCCTGCTAATAGTGTCACCTCAAGGGTTAGGTTTGAATGTAGAAATTTTAGTGGGGGACACAAACCTTCAGATCATAGCAGTGGGTTGATTTTAAAATTGTGTAGATATATGAATCTGGAATTCCAGTCACAGAGAAGCATGTCTTTGACGATAATCTTATCTAACATTTTGATCTGTGCTTATCTGATGAATGAAACATAATATATCAATATAGCTCTTTATTTTTTTAAATAGAAGGGAGGTCTTGCTACGTTGTCCAGCCTGGCCTCTATCTCCTGGCCTTAAACGATCCTCCTGTCATGGCCTCCCAAAGTGTGGGATTACAGGCAGGCACCACAGCACCCAGCTAATCAATGTGGTTTTAACGGGCATTTCTTGTGTGAGCTTGAGCATCGTGTCATAGGTTTTAAGAACCAGCTGTATTTCCTCCCCTTGACCTGTAGGTTCGTACCCTATTTCCTGTCATCCTTTAGTGGCTGGTTTATGGGAAAGGTATGTGTGCACACACACAAGCACGCACACGCAGAGCTGGCCCTTGCTCTGGGATATGAATCGCAGACTTTTCCCCAGCGAGTCATTCGTCTGTTGGTCTTCTGACTCTGTGCTGTTCTGTCTGCCACACAGAGATCTTTATATTTTGAAATTCCCAAATTTATTAACTTTTCAACATCTTTTGCGTTCTGAGTCACACAGAGAGCAGACTTCCCTATTCCGAGATTATCTGCCATGAGCCCCCTGGGCTGGCCGCGTGCTGAGCCCACCCTGACAGTGGAGGGAGCAGGGGGCCGGGGAGAATACAGTGACCGCCCTCGGGCCTCAGGCCTTGGCCACTCCAGGGCTGGGGACTACCCTCCTTCCACACCCTCTGCCAGTATAGACAGTACCACCCACTGATCCCACCTGGGCTCACACAGGGTCAGCTGCCTGTGTCTGTGTTTATGGAGCTGCCTCTAGGCCTGGGGCTCCCAGGGTCTCATGGTGGGCGTCCTGCGGCTGGAGGGCAGGGCAGCCTTGGAGCCAGTCCCCGCACTGCCCAGGGGCACCCAACCCAGCTGCTCTGCTGCCTGCCTGATCCAGGGAGTGTCCTGAGAGAGGCTGGGGGGTGGATTCAGCATTAAAGCAGCTATCTTCGCCCCACAGGCTCTGGCCTAACTCTGGCCGGTGACAGATTGTGCTGGGCAGGCGAGGCTACGGGCCCAGGTGGGGGACCCCGACCTCCTCTGTCCCTGTGTGTAGGGTGGGGATGGGCTGATTTAGGTGGGGGGACCCCAACCTCCTCTGTCCCGATGTATAGGGTAGGGGTGGGCTGGCTTGGGTGGGGGGACTCCTGACCTCCTCTGTCCCCATATATAGGGTGGGGGTGGGCTGGCTTGGGTAGGGGGACCCCTGACCTCCTCTGTCCCCATGTATAGGATGGGACTGGGCTATACGAGGTAGGGGGACCCCTGGCTTTAGTTCCCCATGTGCAAAGCTTGGGCACAGAATGCCTGATGTCTGGGCCTCCTCTCCCCCGACCCCGTCCACACCCACAGCTCTGCTTTGCAGCCACCCAAGGCCCCCCCATGCCACCCACCATAGGGGATCTACTGGGTGCTGGGATGTACTGGCTCCGGCATGGAGCTGCTCTGTCTTGGAGAATCCAGGCCCGAAGAAGGTGCAGGTGGGAGGCTGTGGTTTTTCGGGGGGGCACGTGTTTTGGGCACAGCTGTGACATTCCTGTCTGGGGATGGAGGTCTCCAGTCTCTGCCATGTGGGCTGCCTTTGTGTATGGGGTGTAGCTCTTCTGGGCTCTGTCCCCACCCCACCTGGCTGGGGTCCGAGTGAGCAGCTGTCCTGGGACCTCTGGCCTCGGGCTTAGAGCCGTCTGTGCCTGGACGTCCATAACATGACCCTCTGCTTAGCCCCGTCTGGGGTCCCAGAGCCCTTGAGATGAAGTCCTAGCTCTTGGTGGGGCTCGGGCCCGTCCTGACCCCTAGAGTGACCCCCAGGCCCCTGCTGAGAACCGTGCTTCCTTCCTTTACTCCAAAACCTCTGCCCAACCTCCTCCCAGGGCAGAATCCCTGCTGGGAGGACTTGCTGAGTCTCCTGTCCTTCCCGAGTCTCCTGTCCTTCTCTTGGGCCCCTCTTGTGCTGTGCTGGGGGTCTGGGACTCGGGCACTTTGAGTGCTTGCCGGAAGGTCCCCTGGGTCCTGCTGCGGCGCACTCCCCTGCCGTCCTGCCTCAGTGGCCTGGCGCAAGAGTTTGTGTCCCAAACCCAGAGAACAGCTTCCCCTGGCAGAGACCCCCATAGTGACCTGCCTGGAGGGGATGGGTGTGTGTGGGTCCTTCCCGGGGTCTCCATCTATCTCTTCCCTCCGTGGCCACGGTGCTCTCCGGTGGGGCTGTGCGCACCTGGCTCTGCTGTCCCCAGTGGGCCGGGGCTCACTGCCGCCTCTCTGGTGCCCAGGCTGACGGGCAGCGAGCCTCTGACCATCCTCCCGCTCACACTGGAGCCCGAGGCAGCAGCCCAGGCGCACTACAAGGCCTGCGACCGGCTGAAGCTGGAGCGGAAGCAGCGGCGCATGTGCCGCCGGGATCCGGGCGTGGCCGAGACGCTGGTGGAGGCGGTCAGCATGAGCGCGCTGGAGTGCCAGTTCCAGTTCCGCTTCGAGCGCTGGAACTGCACCTTGGAGGGCCGCTACCGGGCCAGCCTGCTCAAGCGAGGTGAGTGCGCCCTCCCTCACCCCCCTGGGACAGGCCTCAGGCCCCGCCCCGACCCCTCCAGGCCCACCCTCCCCAGGACCCCGCCCTGCCTTCTGCACAGGCGCAATGCTTGCTGGTGGCACCGGGTGCATTTGCGCAGCCATAGGCAGGGCCCCAGGCTGCCCGAGGCTGCTGTGATGGCTCTTGACTCATGCCAGGTGGCCGAGGGCCCGGTGGCCTCTGCTCCAAGCAAAAACCCTCTTCTCTCCTCTGCCCTTCCAGGTGAGGGCGCAGGCACTTGTGGGAGGCTCTCCACAGCCTTGTTTAGGAACTGGGGACCTGAGGCCCAGGGCAGGGCAGGACAGGGCCTGCCAAGGGCCCCGTGGCGAGCTTGTCGGTGGGAGACCGGAATGGGGGTGTCTGATCACCAGGCCAGAGCCGCAGCCACAGTGGGCTCTGGGTTCTCTCCCACTCCCCGCCTGGTCACGTGTGAATGCCTCCTGCTCTCTGGGCACCCACGGCCGCCCAGACAGGTGCAGCACCCCACGCCCTTCCCCCCGGAGTCGAACACCAGGAAAGGTCCTCAGGGCTCCGGTAGGGAATGCGCGTCCGCGGGGGTGGCTTGGCTGCAGTGCATGCGCAATCAACGAGCGCTCCTGGGCGGCCTGGCCGCCGGACCTCACCGACCCGATCCCGCTGACCCCAGGCTTCAAGGAGACCGCCTTCCTCTACGCCATCTCCTCCGCCGGCCTGACGCACGCGCTGGCCAAGGCGTGCAGCGCGGGGCGCATGGAGCGCTGCACGTGCGACGAGGCGCCGGACCTGGAGAACCGCGAGGCCTGGCAGTGGGGAGGCTGCGGGGACAACCTCAAGTACAGCAGCAAGTTCGTCAAGGAGTTCCTGGGCAGGCGGTCGAGCAAGGACCTGCGGGCCCGCGTGGACTTCCACAACAACCTCGTGGGCGTGAAGGCAAGTGGCGCCTGGCGCTGGGCGGGCCGGGCGGGCTGGGCGGGGCTGAGCGGGCCGGAGGTCAGCCGAACTGGAGTGGGAGACAGAAGGGGCTCTGGGCTGAGCTGAGGGCGCAGAGGCCCCGCACGCACTCAGCACAGTGGTCGGGGCGCAGGAGAGGGTGGAGGCCACCTCTCTTCTGGCTGTGCTGTGCCGGCCAGGGCCCTGGAGTCCTCTGGTCCATCAGATTCCCTGCCTGCCAGGCAGGCGGGATACCAGGCTTGGAGGAACGCCTGGGGCCTCCATGCGGGGGTCTGCCCTGGTCCCGCATGGAGGGGGCTGAGAGGAGCCGGTGTGCCTGCGCCCACCTGCCTCTGTTCCCGCCTGGTCAGGCCATCTCACCGGGAGGCTGGCAGGCCGGGCCCCACCTGCCAGCGCAGTGTGCGGTCTTGTCACTAAGGTCCTAGGTCGACAGCAGCCACGGTGGCAGTGTGGTGGCCACAGGGTCCCACGGAAGGGCTGTGGGTGTGGAACCCACTTGCCCAAGTCAGGGGAGTCTAGTTCTGTGTCAGCAGCCCTCTCTGTGGCCAGGGCTCTGTTCTGAGGAACAGAAACCCTGCTTGGGAGACTCGAGGGAGAAAGGGGTCCATCTCCCGGCTCTCTGGCCATCCCGTGGGCTCTCTGCAGCCTCTCGGCTCCCGCGTCCGCGCTGCTGCGACGAGGCCTCGGGTCCCGTAACCTTTGCTCTGGACAAAGCCCTGGGCACCCCTGCTGTGCCTGAACAAGCTGGACCCGAGAGCGCCGGCCGGGTTCAGCCAGGGCTGTGGGGCGGGCAGGAGCTGAGGGGCATTTCTTCCTCCCGCCCTGCCGCCCTCCTCATATCGGGATGTGGGGACGGGGCGAGGTAATTAGAGCCGGCCCTGCTCTGAGCCCCTCTTTATTGAGAAGTCAGAGTCCTGAATCACCCACTTATTCAGGAATCAATTTCCCCCCTTTTGGAGCAGAGCTCTTCTGGGGGGAGCCACTGCGGGCGGATTAAATCCTCGGGGCAACGTCCTTTCTTCTCCCTGCACCCGGCTCCTCCCTGCCCTCTTGGCCCTTTTGTCAGCGATTAATGAAAAGTCAGAACGTGAAAAGTGCTCCATTAGCTCTGCTGCGCCTGGGTCAGCCGTGTTTTAATTAAATTGGTCCGGGTTTCTCAGCAAAGCGTCATTAAATGTGACTCTTCGGTTGCCTGGCCAGAGGGTGGCTACGTTTCTTAATCCTCCTTGAGCCGACCCTCCCGGGGGTGGCAGGCGTGGGAGCTCAGCCGCCTGGCTCGGGTCCCGCCTGGGAAGGGGCCTTCCCGCTGGCCGTCTTTGCAGGGTGGGAAGGACCCCGCCAGGGTTCCCTGGCAGCCCCCCGGATCCGGAATGTGCTGGGCCGTGTCTGCCTCTGCCTGCTGTGGGTGAGGGGTGCAGCCCTCTCTCCTCCGCAGCCGCCCTGGAAGCCCGCCGCGAGCGCAGAGCTCTCTTTGTCCTGAGAAGGTGCTGTCACCCGGAGATGCAGCCTCTGTGCTCATGCCCCCCCAGCAAGCCGACTCGCACTGGCCTGTGGGGCTCGGGCAGCACCTGCACGTGGGACAGCGCCTGGCCCGATGCTGGGGGCTGGGTGGCGTATGATCGGCTCAGACATAGACCACGGGGTGAGGCCACACTTGTCCTACCCCGTGTAGCGAACGACTCACTGAGACCAGACACGGGAGAACCTGGTGGGGCAGAGGGCCCGGCCCTTGCAAAGAGCAGCCCCTGTGGGGATGGACTTTGGGTGGGAAGGGACTGTCTTAAAGGGGTGAGGACCAGCCATCTCTCAAGATGCAGGGGTGGCCTTGGTGGGGACCGAGGTGCTGGCCACAGGGCGCCTGTCCTGGCCGGTCCGTGGCTTACAGGAGGAGGGACAGGCCTGGGGGCTGGGAGCCTGGACCGGACACGTGATGGTTCCGGCCGCGTCCGACTGCAGGGCAGTTGCTGGGCCTGCCTGGCCTGCACCTCACGCGCCCCCCCAACCTCCCACCTGCCAGGTGATCAAGGCCGGCGTCGAGACCACCTGCAAGTGCCACGGCGTGTCGGGCTCGTGCACGGTGCGGACCTGCTGGCGGCAGCTGGCGCCCTTCCACGAGGTGGGCAAACACCTGAAGCACAAGTACGAGACGGCGCTCAAAGTGGGCAGCACCACCAACGAGGCCACCGGTGAGGCGGGCGCCATCTCCCCGCCGCGGGGACGGGCCTCGGGGGCGGGCGGCAGCGACCCGCTGCCCCGCACCCCGGAGCTGGTGCACCTGGACGACTCGCCCAGCTTCTGCTTGGCCGGCCGCTTCTCCCCGGGCACGGCCGGCCGCAGGTGCCACCGCGAGAAGAACTGCGAGAGCATCTGCTGCGGCCGCGGCCACAACACGCAGAGCCGGGTGGTCACGAGGCCCTGCCAGTGCCAGGTGCGCTGGTGCTGCTACGTGGAGTGCAGGCAGTGCACGCAGCGCGAGGAGGTCTACACCTGCAAGGGCTGAGGGGCTCCGCCAGCGCGCGGCGGGGGCGGGGGCGGGGGCCGGCACCGGTCTGGCCTGCCCACTGCCGTGCCCAGCCCTGGCCACCGCGTCTGACCCGAGAGCATCGCACCGCTGCTTTCTGAGCTGTCCCTGTCCCGAGCACGCCAGGCCCGGGTGGGGAGCAGCCCTTGGCGGGTGCGCCTCCACGACCACGCAGCCTCCGTGCGTGCGCGGCCTCCCCCGGGGCCCGGGCCTGGCCAGGGCTGTCCCGGCACCGGCACTGTCTTCGGAGAGTGAAACCACTAGGAGAGGACGGAGCCGCCTGGTCCCCGGGGCCCCAGCCGCCCACGTGCCCGGCCTCAGGGGACGGTGCCCTTCCTTCTCTGACGTCGAGCACTTCTCTTTGGAGTGAATATCAGTGACTTTTAAATTATTCTTATTATTATTTAACTAATATAATAATTATTATTTCCTCCGTCCCTGCCGCCCCAGGCTGCGGCTTCCTCCCTGGTCTGGGAGGGCCCCTCCTTCCGTGCCCACATGTTCCCTCCTAACTCTCCTAACTCTGTTTGCCTCTGATCTGCTTTGTTGTTTGAAACCACTAAATCAAGATAGACGTGCTGTTGTTGTTGAAGAAATAAAGCGCGCTGTGTCTGGCTGCAGCCCTCGGGGCTCCTGGAAACCCGCTCCCCATGCCCGTGTGCCGGCCGAGTGGTGCCGCGCGGCGGTCCCTGCTCCGTGCCCGTGGGCACTCGCCCGATGTCCGGGTGTCCCGGTGTAGATTCTTGGCCAGGGGTGGCCGAAGGGGCTGCTCTGGTGAGGGTTCATGTCACGGGGAAGCCACGCTTTCTCCGTGTCGCTGGGGAGAGGCGGAGGGGGGGTGGCAGGTGCAGGTGGAGAGTCTTGGGCTGGGCTTTGGCAGCGGGAGGCCGTTCTTTTGGCCGTGCTGTTGTCTTTGCATGGGAGAGGTGTGTCTCGCGTGTGCGTGTGCGTGTCCGGTGAGCGTGTGTGTGCGTGCTGTGCTGGCGTGGTCGGCGGGGCCGCGCCCTTCTCGGAGCACTGCTGTGCCGTGCCCTGCCGTGGCGGCACGAGCGGCAGCCTCTGGCCCCCGGAGCCTCCGGCGCTGCCTCC